ACCTATAGAGAACATTTGGTGCATCATAAAGAGGAAGGTGTGACAAAGAAGGCCCAAGACGATTGAACAGTTAGAGGCCTGTATTAGACATGAATGGGAGAGCATTCCTATTTCTAAACTGGAGAAACTGGTCTCCTCTGTCCCCAGACGTCTGTTGAGTGTTGTAAGAAGAAGGGGGGATGCCACACAGTGGTAAAAATGGACTTGTCCCAACTTTTTTGGGATTTGTTGACGCCATGAAATTTGGAAACAGATATTTCCCTTAAAATGATACATTTACTCAGATTAAACTTTTGATCTGTCATCTATGTTATATTACGAATAAAATATTGACATCTGCCATCTCCACATCATTGCATTCAGTTTTTATTCACAATTTGTTTAGTGTCCCAACTTTTTTGGAATCCGGTTTGTATTATTTTCATTTCAAATCTACATCCAGGACTTGTGACCCGTCCAGGGTGTCCCCCGCCCCTCTCACAGTGATTGCTGGACATGGGCACTGGCGACCCCCCTGACCCAAAATGGAAGTATCGAGCAAAGATAATAGATGGATGGATCTACATCCATGCAAATGTAACTTAAATTTAAAAACATAATTAAAGATGATTTTTAGGCTGTGCTCCTTCATGATGAGTGCTTCTTTTACAACATGCCCCGCGGGGGACTCACGTGGTCCCTGAACGCACCATGCTGGTGACCCCTGATCTACTTTTGGTCAAACGTATTATTTTAGATGATTTATCACTTTGGCTTGAGAGTTGACTCTCGTCTGTCCGCTGTCGCCATCACGTGTTGAAAATCATTCACTGCACTTTTTAGACCAAAAGGTTTTAATGAAGCTCACAAAGTATCCCATGTCATCTACAGCTGACTCTCCTTCATGTAAATCTGTCAATCAATCACCAACTGGTCTGGACAACACTGAAGAGGCCTGTCAGCTGGACCACATTCAGTGTGGTAGTATCTGAGACTGATCCTGAACACTGTAACAGATTACACAACTACACACTTTTTGCCCCACTCCCCTCAGGAAGGAGGTTAAGGAGCATT